AGGCAGTTGAAAAGCAAAAGGAGCTTGAAGCAAGTCAAATGCAGGTTAGAAGGAGCACAACTGCAGGTTGAATGCCCCTGTCAATGAATGTTGAATGTCTCAAACTGTTTTCAAAAAGCATATGCAGCTCAAAACCCTTTGACACCAGCCCTTGGAGTAGTCAAGATTAAAGTCTGCAAGCAGGGGCAGACTGACAACTCATGGGGCCCCCAGGCAACAGGGGATCATGGGGCCCCTGTGTCCTTGCCCACACTCAAAGCACACCCAGAAAAGCCTATAAAAGGTACCAGGGGCATTTCATGGGGCCCCCTACTGACCTCGGGCCCTCGGACAGTGCCCGAGTGCTCGAATGGTCAGTCCGCCCCTGTCTGCAAGTACATCCAAATGATAAAGTTAAATATGTGTTTTCTGTTGTATTCCGAGCTGAGGAAGGGCGTGAGCATACTAGCCCGAAACTGTTTTCATTACAGAACACTTCTGATATATTTTTGTAATTTTTGTACAATAGAATAAATATTTTATGTGCAGCAATCCTTCAAACTTTTATATATATATATATATATATATATATACTATTATTATGTTTTTCCCCATTTTACCCAAACAGATTTGAACATTTGTAAATTTAATATTTAAAAAAAAATATCTTGCGATTTCACTAACTCACTTGGGGAATTCATCCTATTGTGTACGATGGAATGCACTGCACTATAGATGCTACAGTGGCAGTTTCCATACAAACTGCAGTATGCACATTTAGCAGTAACCAAGAACAATGAGTACCATTTCAACCTAATGTAGCAGGTCCTCTTTACCACACAGAATAATACAATAATACACATTAATAATAATAAACAATAATATACAGTATAATATAATAACAGCAAATAATAAGAAATGTTTTTATATATTATTCTTTACTTCCTGTTTAGCCCTCCCTGTCGCTTTAAATGTAGCATTATCTAAGAAATAGCAAATAGCATTTTAGGTGAATTAATAATGAGCATCTATTGCCAATTACTTCCATGGCTGAATGCTTCAATAAGGAGAAAATCTCCTACAAAGTAGTGAAGAATGTTCGCAGAAGTGCTGGAGAGGTTCCAGGGGGACCAACCACAACCTCTTAAAGGCTTTGTCTTGCAAGAAGCATCCTCCCAATTAGTTCACCCTCTTCCTGGCAAGATAAGAGCTGTGTTTTGTGGTTACCATCCATCTGCGCTTGAGAGCCTTTCTTGTAAGAATAGTAAGGTGAAATAAGACCCCTTCTTATACCAAGAGCGAAATAATAAATTAACAATTCCCTTGAACACTAAAACACTAATGGGAGTCAGTAAAATCCTAATTATAATATTAAGGAATTTCTTCAAGTGTACCCATCACTCACACAGTGGTAGGTCTCGCAGGAAATTTGGAAGAAATCAAAATGCTTTGGATGATCTGAAGATTCAGATACCTGAATCAGATATCTGTTTCATTTTCAAACCTGCACTAAAAAAAAAAACAGCCCATTTTAGGTCTCCATAATAAATCACTTCACCTGACCCCATGGGGTTTATTTCCTAAAGCTGGAGAGTCCAAAATCAGACTCCCTTCTGCATAGAAACCAATCAGCTTCTAACCTCAGCTTGTTCAATGAAGCTTTGGCAATGAAACCTGGAAGCTGATTGGTTTCTATGCAGAAGGGAGTCTGATTTTGGACTCTCCAGCTTTAGTAAATAAACCCCACCTTGTCATCAAAAGCAGCTGTGCACCAATAGATGGGTCTAAATAAAACTTTATTGATGAGTCAATACATGCTGTACTTGGACTCTTCCGTCTAACGTTTTTTATACTGTAATAAAACTTAATCGACCTGATGACAATTAACCTCAATTACAAAGTAAAACGCTTCAGTGGGAGGAGTCCAAGTAGAGTTTGTATTGACTTATCATCAATAAAGTTTTATGAATAATGCTCTCATGGTGTGTGTTCTATATATCCTTTTGATTTAAAGACAACAGGTGGAAGGTGATTGGCTGACTTGTCACACTTATGTGAGCAAATCAGTGCCGAAAATTCTCTATTAAATCATAGGTTCATGGGGAAAACCACATTAATATCATGGTGTATTTACAGATATAAAGGGTGATAGCTCCATTCTACAGGATTTTGTTACCCACTGAAATTTATGCCAGTGCCTTTTCTACTATGTTGAAGGTGAAGCTTTTGCTGAAGATTAAGCCAAAAGTGAGGTACCACAGGAGTAAACAGCTAGCAACTGGTCAATATTTTGGTTACATGTGCTCGGTCAGCACAAAGAAGATCACAAGTAAGGTGGGTCACCCTTCAATGATGAGTGAGGAAATTGTCTGTCAACTCAAACACTGTCCACATCGGGTGAGCTTCTGTGAAACAAGAGCTGTGTTTTTGGGTCTTCTAAAGGTTGATGGTCATCATTTTATAAAGCGCTGCACAAACTGTTGGCGCTATATAAATCCTGTATAATAGTAATAATAATAATCATTGAATTGTTGATGTGAAGTCCAAGTGTAGAAGAGGATACCCTACATGTGAACTGAGTGCAGTCACAAGCTATGCCATAATTTCATGGAAACATCCTACCACAGGGGCGGACCATTTGGAAACTCGGGCACTGCCCGAGGGCCCGGGGTCAGTAGGGGGCCCCATGAGATGCCCCTGGTACCTTTTTCATAGGCTTTTTTGAGTTTGGGCAAGGACACAGGGGCCCCATGATCCCCTATTGCCCGGGGGCCCCATGAGTTGTCAGTCCGCCCCTGTCCTACCATTCCACTCTTTTGGGAACTGATCTATGCTGGCCTATTTAAAGTGTTTAAAGCCAAGTATGAGGCATTCTATTCTAGCCTGAGGAAATACCAAGGACACGGCTCTGTTTAGAGGGTTGCATTTTTTTTGCCTTTAAGCAATGTACAGAGTAGTCACTATATAATAGTTCAGTCCGGGACTTCTGCATTCCTTGTAAAGAACTAGGCAATAAAGGCCAATGTACATATTTGCTAGTTGATTAAAAAAAGTTCTAATAAGCACAGATAAAGATATTGTTTCAGATATGCAGCACTCGTATGTATGAGTTTAGTGCTATTACTCATCAGTATGATCCCCTTTCCTATATGATGATTTAATTGTGTTAGCACAGTTTCTTCAGCCAATCACTGCTCAGACAGCTGCAGTTGAAAGAACAGAAGGTAGTCCTTAGCTGCTTAATGACTTATATTTCTTATTCTGAATTCTGATATTTGCTGGTTTCATAGTATTTATTCATCTGTGAGTGTGAATAGGGCATAGAATAAAATATTTGTTATGTGAGTGTAGCAAATAAATAAATAAAGCAGTAATGCTATTACTAGCCTGCCACAATATTGCAGCCAAGGATGTTTTTTGCCATAAATCCTTCAGGGGATAAAAGACAAAGATTGGTGGTGTGGGTATAGCAAGTATATGAATAAACCTCCCAGTAATGCTATTACTAGGCTGCAGACAGAAGGAGCTATCTACAATGATTTGTAGTGTGACTTCCGGAGACTAACAACCAACAAGCTTACATTAAACTCAGAATGAGCAAGTGAGCACATGTATTTCCCGTTCTCTTGATACAAGTTAGTCACACTTGGTTTATGCGATCTTTGTTCAGGTTTGTGTTTGTTCTGACATTCCCTTTCTCTGTTTAGTATCCTATATGTTAGTAATGGTAACTCACGAACACAAATTGATGTACTTTTCTATGTGACCTGCACTGCCACTATAAAGAAAGTAATTATAATGTATGTATAGTGTGATTCAATGCCGATTGTGACATTAAACTCGGAATGAGCAAGTTAGCACATGTGTTTTCTGTTCTCCTTTTGGTACAGATATTGCAGGCTGCATCTTTGTCATATATTGCACTCAGATCACCAATAACCCTGTAACATGAGCAGCCCATCTGAACTGGAGTGAGGTCTGCGAATTGTGAATGAGGCTGTCCCGGATGTTTCTTATACACTTAAATATCAGAGCTGCTCAAATTTGAGCAATGCAGACACATGGCATAACGCCTGGTTACTGTGAATAATCCAAGAAATGAACCAACCTAAACCTGTGCATTCTCCTCTTGCAAAGTTGGAGCTGAATAAGGTATCAAAACTGCAATAACTCTTTTTGGTGAAATTTCTCTTTTGTTTTCTACAATTGGCTGTGTGTTGGTACCTAATTGCTCAGGTCCCCACCTGCTTCTTCTTGGATAGGATAACTACCCCCCTGCTGATAGTTGTATCCCTTCAACTTATAGTGTGAAACTCCTGGCCATAGGAATTAATATTTAAAAATAAAGGTATGTTCCACACAAAGAATTTGTTTTCTGCACTTTACTATAGCTTTCAAAGATGGAGTGACTTCTAACATTACAGAGACATACAGACAGAACTCTTTGGTATGCCACACACAGGAACAAACATTCTGTAGCTGTCCTTGTGGCGCAGAACGCCATAACATAAGTTATCTTCCCTTTTTACCTCCTCTCCTTCTGGGAGCACCATGGAATTGGGACCATTTTTCCATGTATAGCTAGTCCACAGCATTCAGCCTCTGCCACTGAGTCTAAGCAGGGTGCTGGTCTTGAAACAGAGCCTCCTAATGGCAGACTAGCTAACTGCACCGGATTCCATAGGGGTTAAGGGGGCAAACCATAACCTCCACTCACTCTTATTTACCACTTGACCTCCAGAAGGTTTTGCCCCCTTCATGACAAAGGCATTGTTTACTGTTCAGCACTGTGCTATTTTAAATAGCAATTGTTTGGTTATGCAACACTGTACCCAAATTAAATTTATATATTTTTTTCACACAAACTGAGCTTTCTTTTGTTGGTATTTAACCACCTCCCGCCCGCCATATAGTAATATGACGGGCGCGCGGTGGTTCTCTCGTTCTGGGAGGATGTCATATGACGTCCTCCCAGTCTCACTGCGCGCATGCGCGACTCAGGGAGCGCGCGGCGATCGGCGATGCGCTGTGTCCCCCGGACACAGCTGATCACCGATCACGGAAAGAGCCGAAGATGTTGGCTCCGTCATGTGATCAGCTGTGTCCAATCACAGCTGATCACATGTAAACAGGGAAATGCCGGTTATTGGCATTTCTCTCCTCTCGAGCTGTCACACTGACAGCTCGTGAGGAGAGGAGAGCCGGTAATCGGCTTTCCACGAGGGGACATGTGCACAGATCATCAGGGCACTGATGATCAGTGTGCCCTGATGATCAGTGTAGCCCCAGCAGTGCCACCTGTCAGTGTCCATCAGTGCCTTATGTCAGTGCTCATCAGTGCCTCGTGCCAGTGCCCATCAGTGCCACGTGCCAGTGCCCATCAGTGCCACATCAGTGCCACATATCAGTGCCTACCAGTGCACATCAATGCCACATAGTGCCCATCTGAGCTGCATTTCAGTGTCACCCATCAGTGCCAGTCAGTGCCACCTATCAATGCCAATCAGTGCCACCTATCAGTGCCAGTCAGTGCCACCTATTACTGCCAGTCAATGCTGCCTATCAGTGCACATCAGTGCCGCCTATCAGTGCCTGTCAGTGCCATCTAACAGTGCCAGTCAGTGTCGCCTAACAGTGCCAGTCAGTGCCGCCTATCAGTGCCAGTCAGTGCCGCCTATTAGTGCCAGTCAGTGCCGCCTATCAGTGCTGCCAGTCAGTGCCGCCTATCAGTGCCATGTATCCGTGCTGCCTTTCAGTGCCCATCAGTGATGCCTGTCAATGCCCATTAGTGCCACCTACCAGTGCCTCCTCATCAGTGCCCATCAGTGCCACCTATCAGTGTCCATCAGTGCAGCCTATCAGTGCCCATCAGTGCAGCCTCATTAGGGTACATCAGTGAAGGAGAAAAATCACTTATTTACAAAATTTTATAACAAAAACTAAGAAAAAACATTTTTTTTTCTAAATTTTCAGTGGTTTTTGGTTTGTTTAAGAAAAAATAAAAAACCCAGAGGTGATTAAATACCACCAAAATAAAGCTCTATCTGTCATAAAAAAATGATAAAAATTTCATATGGGTACAGTGTTGCATGACCGCGCAATTGTCATTCAAAGTGTGACAGCACTGAAAGCTGGAAATTGGCCTGGGCAGGAAGGGGGTATAAGTACCCTGTAGGCTAGTGGTTAATCACCGCTGCTTTTTATTTGTTTTTGCTATATAAACGAAAAATGACCCAACATTTTGAAAAAAAAAAAAAAGTTTTTCTCAGTTTGTTTTCAAATGTTGCAAACATATAATCTTTCTTCATAAATTTAGGTCAAAGTGTATTTTACTACATTTCTTTGGTAAAAAAAAAACCCAAATGAGTGTATATTATGTAGTCTGTGTGAAAGCCATAGAGTCTGCAAACTACGGTGTACAGTATATATATGTATGTATGTATATGAAAATTGATCAATCCTGATGTATTGATGACCTATCTCATTTCTTGAGGCCTTTAAATGCCAGGACAGTACAGATATCCCCCAAACTACCCTTTTTTTACAAAGTAGACAGTCCAAAGTAATTAGTAAGAGGCATGGCAAGTTCCTTTGAAGTTGTAATTTTTTTTTTTAATTGTTTGGAAAATTAGGAAATTATATAAAATGTGGGTTTCATTTCACAATTGTTTTTTTTATACACTGTCACCAGGACAGGACAGCATCATCATATGATGCTGTGGCAGTGATCAGGGATACTGACTGGTGACAGTATGTAGAAAAAAAAAAAAGATTTGTAAGCATTTGTTTTTTACTTTTTTTTTAGTTTTTTTTATTACATACTGTTATCATAGTAGTTCAGTGTCACCATGGCACTGTACTACTCTTGGGTGGGGGGGTTTGATCAGGGATTTTTTTTTTACACTCTTATTTCTTATAATAGTGATCATTACTTTTATAAGCAATAGTTAACTGTCATGAATGGCTTTTATTCATGAATGCTTGCTTTCTGTTGACATGCTATGATTGGTCATCATGGTACAGGGTGTCAGGTACCATGTGATAGCTGTGGGTCAATCACAGCTTCACAGCACTAAGCAAGCAGTCATGAGTATTAACTATTCATGACTGTTTTGCTTACATTGTATTCATGTGGTCACCATGATTGACTGTGAATGGCTGGGTGCCAAGCGCTGTGATTCGCTGTGTCCACCAGACACAGTGGTCATAGGATTGCCCCGCTGTGCACCCCAGGGGCACGCTAGTGCACATGTGCCAGGTGATGTACTAGTATGTCACCTAGCCTGGCTATGCCACCCGCTAGTAGTATGTGTACTGTTAGCGGGCAGCAAGCAGTTAAACATATAATATTCTTTACAGAGAAAAAGTGTTTTTCCTATTCTTTACAGACCCATTTCTTTTCTGTCTGAAATAAGTTAAGTTTTTTAAAAGAAAAGCAATTAGACCCAATACTGCTCAAAATGTCACCCTACAGCCTCAGTGAGATTCATGAGTGGAATTGTTTTTGCATGCTTGTACTTTTCATTAACTGTCCTCCCAAGCTGTCATTTTATTTTAGGGTTTTATGAGTACATTTCTGCAAGTATCAAAGGAACAATAGCCTCAGCAGCAGTGAAGTAAACATGTTTATACCTCTGTTGTTTTGGTTTTTTTCCCCTTGATACATAAACTTTAAAGGGTTAGTTCACCTTTACCAAAAAACTACCTATGCTGGTAAGTGCATGTGTATCTCACAGATGCTATCATCCAGTCCTGCCTTGTTGCTAGGATGTTGCTAAGATACTTCCAGCTGTTACTGCCTACCACCACCATCCCAGGAGCGAGCTCTCAGATGCTGAGCTCAGAGTTGAAGAGCTAGGGAAGAGAAAGCACATGTGAGGGGGGTTGCATCAGAAAAAGAGCTTGCTCCTGTGATGGTGTAGGCCAGGGGTAGGCAACCTGTGGCTCTCTAGCTGTTGTGGAACTACATTTCCCATGAGGCATTGCAACATTACAACAGTTACAGCTATGACTTGCAGAGGCATGATGGAACTTGTAGGAGAGCCGCAGGTTGCCTACCCCTGGTTTAGGCGAACAGTAATGGCTGGGAGTGCCTTAGTAATGTCCTTACAACAAGGCAGGATGGGGGATGTCAGTTTTTCAGACAGTCTTCAGGAGGTATGTTAATGGAATTATCCAAATTTTGTCAAAGATGCATGGTTTGTTTTTATCTACAGGCACCCCTTTGGTAAAGGTGAATTAACTATAAATTCAGTTAAATTTGGTTATTCTGCAAAGCTTTCTGTTTTCTGTTCTCTAACCATGCAATGCATGTGTCATGGTCTAACCCCCAGGATCTCCATGAAAACTGCATGCACAGCTAACATTGTAAAAACATACATACACAAGAAATAACCAGTGAGATTACAATATGCTGTGCTATATTCATAAACAATACACCAAATATACAATATATAAAAGCTGTATATAATCAAAATAATACAAAATATTAAAAAATAAAACAATAATAGTCCTAATGTGAAAAATTGTCAAATGAAGAATAAAACCAGTGTTCAAAACCAAAGAAGAAGGAGTAGGACCACATCCAAGGGAGAGCTGATAATATCCTGGGAAGATAGGAAGGTCCCCACCAGACAACACCATATACGCTTGCCAGATATCCATTACCCTCTAATCACAGAAGGTCATGAAGCGCTTTAGTACCTAAATCCTGTGGATGTCTCCTCCAAGAAAACCCTGGTATAATAAACCTGGAACGGCAGGTGTCTCCGCACTGAAAGACTCATTTATATTTCCATCCATCAGATTACATACACAAGAAAAACAGAGAGTCCAACATAGTGTAAAACCTTCCATGATGTTTTATTAAAAATGGTAAAAGCACTCACATATACAATGTAGCAATAGCGCATGTATACATACAATCCGGCCAGCAGGGAAGATGGCCTCCTGCAAACTTCCAGTACATGATGATGTCACAGCAGGCTCTGCCCTACAGATTTCATCACAACTGACGCCGTCTGGGGTATGGATGCCATGCTGAATCATCGCGGATTTATATGGCCAATGTACAACCAAGCCTCAATCTGGATTCCATTGGACATAATAGACCAAGCCTCATATTGAGAGTGTAAGGCATTACCATAAGTATATAATCCCATTCTGCCAAGCCAGCTATTAAATAAAAAAATACTTAAAAAATATTTTAAAAACAATATAATAATGAAGGGTAAAAAAGAGGAAGATATTATGATAAGATAAAAAAGGGGAATGCCAAAACCAAGATGGCAGAAAGACATGGTAATATCAGTCATCGATACACTGTCTGCCATCTACAGGTGACCAATGTAAATATCACAAGAAAATCAAACATAAATGGTAGACGAATTGGAAAGGGAAAATGCTTAGCAGGTTCCCCTTTTTCTCTTTTCCTTGATGCCTTCTGGTCTGGATTTTTATATGTGTGTTATATTTTTTACACTCCTGAAGATTTTTTTTTATATATATTGTAGAATTTGTATTTATATGAATGGATCCCCTTGGCCCTTCAATTTGGTCTTATACTTTTTATATTTTTTATATTTATATTTTTTATATTTTTATTTTCCCTTTTAATCAGGCCGTGGGAATTCACATGCTTACTGTAGCTAGGTGGTGCATTACTAAAAAGTGGAGGAATGTGCATGCTCCTTTCTCTAAAAGGTATTCCATGTTTTAAAAAGAAACTTCAACCAAAAAAGGGACAGTCCACTTGTTTGCACCCTCGTCTGTAGCAATTGGTACTTTTTGGGAGGGGGGCTGGCACCTGTATTAGAAAGGTACCCGCTTCCACTTCCAGTCGGATCGCCTTGGCAATCTGAGTGGAAGTTCAGATCTCTCCTTTACCTACTGCCTACTGGGACACTTCTCAGGTCCCAGAAGACTGCAGGACCAATCACAGAGCATAGTGTGGCTTGCACATGTGCAGTGGGAAACCAGGTGTGAGGCTTCACTACTGGTTTCCCCTATGTAAGATTCCGGTGCCAGGAACCTGAAGCCGACTGAAGAATCGCCACAGGTAAGGGCAGCACTGGATCCCTGGACAGGTAAAGTAAGTGTCCTTATATTAATAGTCAGCATTTACAGTATTGTTAGCTGCTGACTTTTAATTTTTGGGTTGGGGAGACTGGAGCTCCTCTTTAAGCACACAATGTTCTTTCAAGGAAATATGTGAAGCTTAAAAACCCAAAAGTTGTGTGTAGGTCTGCCCAGTTCTACTCTCTGTTTAACATATGTTTGTATTCTGTTGTTCTACTAAGTTAAAGTGGTTGTAAAGGTAGAAGGTTTTTTATTTACCTTCATGCTTTCAATGTATGAAAGTTAAAAACCTTCTGCATTCAGTACTCCCCCCCCCCCTTGCTAGCCATCCCTTATACTTATCTGAGCCCGATCTTGGTCCAGCTCTTTGCAGAAGAGAAGTTCTCTCCCTTCTCATTGGCTCAGAGACAGCAGTGAAGTCA